AGCAAGAGGGTCAAAGTTCAAGGTGCCATGTTATGAGGAAGTAGTATGTCACAACTGAATGCATACTGCATGCAACAGTATGTACTTTGTGAGAGCAGCTGCAGTATGTACTAAAATTCAAAAGAAGAAGTATGTGATTTGGAAATGCAGCTTAAATCTTTTGGCATACTAGATAGCATGGTGGAATGGGTATTGGAACGCACAGTCAGTGTTGAAAGGCACAGCTTATGCTAATGTTTGCATGCTAACATGTTCACAATGATAATGCCAACATGCTCATGTTTAGCAGGTATGATGTTTGCCATGTTCACCATGTGAGTTTAGCATGTTAGCATGCTAACTTTTATGGTGGCTGATGGCTGCTTAGAAGGGCTACTTTAAGTAGGTACATTACAGCGACCCTTTCATTTACATTACTCACCTTCACAATTCACTCCATCCGCTTGCAGTTGATAACCACCAAGGCACGCACACATACCGTAACCATCACACAAGTGGGAGCATTTGGAGTCTGAAAACAGCAGAGACACACATGAAGAAGTAGACATCGCTGTATACAGTGTGAGTCCTACATCACAGGAATCATGTCACTGGCTGATGATAGGCAACGCCACCAAGAGGCGGGTGCCTAAACCTCTTACGTCTCTTCTTATGACAATAAAGATCACATTAAGAAATGAAGGTGGCAAACCTGTACAGGGGTCCGATCCCCCCTTAGGCTCAGCCGTAGTGGTGGCCTGATGCATTACTGTCACTGGTGCTATGGAAGAAAAGGCCTCATTAAAATGAAATTCCCTGAATAGCAAGCACAGGGTGAAACACTTCAGCACCTCATCACTCATTGGAACTCCACAAAGCTCTGTAGCCTTCCCATTGGCATGCTCTCATTGCTTTGGCCTTCAATCTACATCAGCAAGACACTTTTGCTTTTAAATCACTTGGCACCTACAATGTGTGCAGATGGCCGAGTATACAGATTATTTTGAATGTCACAGACAGCCAGTAGCCATTCTGTCTAGATGAGACAGAGTGGAGCCAATCAAGACACTGAAGACTGAAAGCACAACATTGGTTACATCTCTTACCATTTGTATTGGGATCGATTTCTGCTTTTGTGGTTTTGTCGCAGCAGGCTTTAGCTGTGTACGAACACATGTTAAACAGAAACAACCCCTGGAACTCGCAGCTGGAACCCCGGCTTGCTGTGATCAGGCCGAGCATACAGCAGTCACAGCACATCTGAACAGGAGACAGGGAGGGTGAAACAGGAAGAAAGGCAGCTGAAAAAGAAGGAATCTTATCTCTTAAGTGATATTGTCATAAAATCTAGGTTTTAATTTTTTAGGTGTCTTGTTTGTGTGCGCAAGAATGAAAAGACATGTAAAGGTTGAAGACATTGACATCAGGGAGGAGATAACCTTAGAGATTTGGGCTTCCCAGAATTCTCCTTGGAAGAAGGGCCTCTCACAGGCCCCTTGCCCCTTGGCTGTCTCGATGCCATTGTCACAGAGTCGGTCTCCTACTACTGCTGCACAGCACTGCTCCTGGGTGATCCTGGAATTAAATGGCACACATTTAATTCATCCAGAAGAGAAACTGCATCCTTTGATCCGTGAGGAAATAGCTGTATAAAGAGCATGTGAAGAAATGTTTGTTATTTGAGTAAGATACAGTCCATCAGCTGGCTGCAAGTGGATTTATTGATGATGTAATAAGTTGCATATTTACTTGCAGCGATAAGTAACCCACTTTAGCTTGAAAGACATTGTAACGGTCAGCAGCTACTTTGAAACTTTCAAATTATTTTTAGAATGAAAATGCTTAATTTCTTCATGGGCAAAAAGTCCCCCCCCCCCCCCCCCGCCTTTCCTCTCCAAATGTTCCCTCTACTGACCGCCATGTGTCGACCAGGTGTTCCTCTATTTCATCAATCACACCCTCCATGTTCTTACAGTCAATCAGGGCCCTTTAGTGTTAAAAATGCTCCAGGGGGCCACTTAACACCCGTCCTTACTGTGTAGTTACTCTGTGTCAATCTCTCCTGTAGCAGGACGGATACCGTCAGAAACGTTGGCTTACAGGACACACACATTTCCCACAGGAAAATGGCACACACTCATTTGAAGAGGCCAATGTGATATGTATTTGTACCCCGAGGAAAGTTTTTGAAGAATAAGCACAACAAACGTCATGCATTCCCTCTGTACTGCCCCGTCCTTGGTCCCTGGGGTCGCATCCTGAGACCCTCTCTTTTGTGAAACCAGGTGTTGCTTACCTGCAGCTGTGGGAGGAGGAGGAGATGAGGGGGAGGTATGTACAGTGGTGTCCTCCCAGGGCCCAGTCCTTCCCATTCTGACAGCACTCGTGTTCAGTAAGAAGCTGATTCTCTGAGGATGAAATACACAGCAGAGGCATGATGGAAAAATATCACTGCTGCCCCTAAGTGTTACTAAATCAGATTTAATTAAATTGGGCTCACACTCTCAGATAGACAGACAGTACTTAGAAAATATTACCACGCAGTGCCTCACATAAGGATATAATATGCCCCCAAAATGAATAGTGTGTTAAAGTTGTTCCAACCACGAACAAAGACTAACATTCGGCATTTCAATGCCAAAATGTAGCTGTGCATCCTACCTTGTCCATGCAGAACTCTGTATAAAGAAAACAGAAGTATTGTCCACTGTGTCATCGCACTCACTTTCAGATGTTTCCCTCACCGATTGTCTAAATGTCAAGGTTATTTAAAATTACCGGGATGATCGGCGGCTGAACGGCAGCAGTGGATGGTGTGTGTGTGTGTGTGTGTGTGTCTCCTCTGTGAAAGTGTCCCATCAAGAAGGATCTCAGTCAGAGCGGCAGGAGAGGCGACTCGGGCCTCGATTTGTGGGGTTAGAGATTAGAGGGCGGTGAATTATCTAAGAGTGCTAGCAGTAAAGTCTGAAGAATTGTTCTCCTGATGAAAACAAACAAGTCTGCTTCATGATAAAACATTGTTGAGTACATCAGCAAGACACTTTTGCTTTTAACTCAAATCGAGTGTTTTTGCAGCTCTGGCCTTACCAAATGTGCAAATGGCCGAGTATACCGATTGTTTTGAGTGTCACAGACCGCCAGTAGCAGTCTAGATAGTACAGAGTGGAGCCAATCAACACACTAAATACTGAAAGCACAAATAGCAAAAAGGAAAAATAGCACATAAAGCAAAGCCAGCTTAACTTTTACCCAGGGATTGTTTTTACCTGAGTGTGACACTAAGCTTACCGATACAGCTGCCGACGGCGTCCTGAATAAAATCGCCTGAGCACCTCCTCTTTTGGGAGCAGTAAAACGAGCCTTGTGTGTTGGTGCACAAAAAGTTTGGTCCACAGCTATGTGTCCCCAAAGTACACTCATCTATGTCTGGAACAGGCACGGAGGAAAAGATGAAGAAAGCATAAATATGCATGCATAAATATTTTTATTGACATGAAATACTGTAGGCTATTGGACATGTAGCTATTTTACATCCAAGTAAAATTGCAGTATTGTTACCTTGGCAAGTTTTGTAGTCTTTGAGTTCATACCCGGTGTTACAGCTGATTTTCATGTGACATTGGAAGGAACCCTCTATGTTAATGCAAACTTGGCCAAAGACGCAGTTGTGACTGCCAGTCAG